TGCACTCTGCAGTGAATGCAAAACACAAGCGGAAGGGAAAAATGCAATTTTAATGCTTTTTAAATATTTGCAGTTGCGTGTTGACTCAAAATGCCTTTTATGGTGCAACATCATCCATCGCAGTACAAAGAACATTGTATGACTCGGCGCGGCGCATCTCCGAGAACTTGCATCACTTAACGCCATTGTCATCGCATGATTGTTACACTGGCGCATACAAGCTGAAAGTTCAACTCGTGACGCGGCCACAGGAAAACAAAACAATTTTTTCTCGTTCATCGATCTTGGATGCATTTCAACTTCATGGTCGTCTTTTTCGTCTTCTTCGTCTTGTCGCTCCATCGTAGCTTGAGTTCCTGCTTTATGCTTTGTGGTTTGATTTAACAAAGCGTCGGAAACATTTTGCCGCCACGACCCATTCGTAACACATTTGTTGCAATTTTATCGCGATTTGTTAGGTTGGGATAGGTCGATCAGTGTTACCAATCGCTACCTTCGCTCAGTGGACCGCACCGTGAAAAGTGGATACGGCAGTTGGGCACTTCTTTAAAATTAGATTCACCGTATTTAATTTACTTAAAAATAATTTGTTGGAATTTGTATTTATGAGACACGATTCGAAATGCATTTTGGATTACTTTAGTTCAGCACTTTGCAGATAAATTCGGTTTCCTCTTAAGGGTCCGTTCAACTACACTGAGCGTTTTATTTGTTATGTATTTTAAATAGTTTTGGAAATGTATGACCAATACCGTCACTAAATTTGCATAAATGTTAATTTGTTTTTTATAGTTTTTATTTATAGTATATTTTACAGATATATCCTAATTTATTACGTGTAAGTAACATATAAATGTCAGAAATATATGACGAATCGCAATCACATAAAGCTTCTTTTATCTTAGGTTAACAGTTGTAATTATCAGTTCCTGAATATGTGTTTCCAATTATATTAAATAGCTATATTTAGTAAAAATTCATAAACTACACAATTAAAATAAATATGATGATTGAAAAGATATTAAACCATTTATTATCTCAAATGGTATTGTATTGTATGGTTTGGTATGGTATTTATAATTATCTCAAATGGTATTATAACGCTTTGACAGTAATAAATATTGTGAATTTTCCAACTAAGCATATATATTACATAGCTTTTTTCAAGACAGCACAGAAATCAGCAATTTTGTTTTATCTCTCAGATTGAAATCAAGGCCTTCTCAAAGGGATGCCATTAATGCATTAGTTATTTAGGACCTCTAATTTTAATTTGGATCTTCACGTCTGGCGTACGGACTGTGTCGTATCCGTGATATCACAACAGGTCACAATAATTAAACATATATGTTACATAGCTTTTATGAAGAAAGCAATCAGATTAGTAACATTGTATATTCTCTAAAATTGGAACTAAGACCTTTATGCTTAATTGAACTTTGGTATTCGAGGTTGTCACTCAATCTAACTTAATAGCAATGTGAGCTTTTGTTGAAATAAACTAAATTGATAAATTGAAATCTACAACAAAGTGAATTACGATTATACCTCACATATAGATACATTTGTCCCACGAACGGTATTATAAGTGATATTATTTATAACTGCGCGATCTCTTGAAATTCATACTTCAAAAACACGTAGTTAAATATATTTTCCTATAAGAAAAACTACTTTTTATCTTCATTATAAATTTTAAAATACTCTACGATTTTGAAATAAATTGATTCAGATGAAATTGAAGTGAATATATGTTATCCTTGAAAAAATTTGAAATTTGCAACTACATTTGCCATATTCAAAAAGCTCAAGTGTGATCATTATAGTGGCTTTAGAGAATGATCTTTATAGAACATAAACTGAAATATTTTTCTAGTTTTAATAAAGCTTTGAGTTTATGCATATCGCTCTGTACATTCAAAATGTTTTAACTTTTGAACACAGATCTGCAAGATGCCATAAATTCATCAAATATCATCCTTTGCACCATATATTGGTTATTGGAAGAACATATTCATGGAATACTCGTAGTTATCTCCTGCAGTATCCATTGTCAAAGACTTAATAAGGTGTAAGAATATGCAGAGAGTTTCACTTGTCCAATACTAATAAATATCAGGCTTTAGACGTGTTATTCTACTTTCTCTGATAAACCGAAAACTAGCGCGAACCTTATGTAACTATTCACTATATTTAAATTTTGTTACAGTTGGGGATGAATTTAGAATAAGTTCAATATGTTAGTCTAAGAGGGTTTCGATGGCGAATTTCTACCAACATCCATACTAATTGATTAATTTACTCAATCTTAAAATGCCTTGAAACATTCGCACAAATAATACACTAAGAAGTCTTAGAATAGATCCGTTTAAAAAATACGTAAGGGAAAGAGCGTTGAAGCTATTCGCGAAACCCGACAGGCTGCCCTACTTAGCACTCTCTAATCTCAGAATAATCTCTAGCTGCACGAGGTGGTACGCAGTCATCGAATAATCACGCAGCTTTTGAGGAGATGGGTGGAACTCTGCAGAAACCGCTCAGCTATCAAAGAGTAAAAGAGCAAAGAAAAATACTCAATATGAAGAAATTTTAAAAAAAGTAAAAGATTAGATTTGAAACTGAGTCAACTTAAAAAAACATTAAATAATAAGATTCATTTTATTTCAGTTATTAAAATAGATATGAAATTGTTTAAAAAATTTAAACGAATTTTATTAGACAGAAAAATGGTGAGTAAATTAAATATCTATATTCATAAATCTCTGCCAAAAAAGTAATTTATTTAAAATTTGCATTTATTTAAATATGATAATTTAGTATGTAATTGTTTTCCATTAATTTAATTAATTATTTAATTTTGCACTGATTTTCCGAGAAGAGCATTAAATGCCGAAAACCCACTAAACCAATTCCGCCGTTTGTGGCTTCTTCGCATTATGCTCTTCCTTCCATCGATGCATCGCAATGCATCATTTGTTGTTGCGAATGCATCTGCAGTCATCCGTGTATCCGTGTATGCGTGCCTGCGTATGGAGTTCGGTTTTATTTGTGTTTGCTGCTAATTGCGGATTAATTATCAATTTTATAGTTTTGGTTTGTTCTTAATAAAACCCAAATGAAATGCAATATTTTAATTTATGCAGTTTTTTGCAATTTATTTATTTTTTACATAAAAAATTTTAGTTTTGTTTTTTATATGGGAAATAAATTAAAAGTCACTGCTATCCACAAAATACCACGGTATCTTGTTTCGATATTCACAATAAGTTCGTAAGTTAAATTTATTTTTAATTTAATTTTGTGAAATCTCATTTATCAAAAATAATACTTTCATATATAATTAAATTTAATATTTTACTTTTTATAACAAATCACGCTAATTTTTACTTAAATTTTCATATACCGCTTCAGAAATAAGTATATCGGACATATGATTATGAATCGTTTCATTAGCATTTTCATTACTTTCAAAGCCCTCTTCATATATATTCGTATTATTGTGAACCTTACTTACATGACTTCGATATTAACACTTTCATTATATCATGAATAAGTGAGTGTCGTAAGAACTTTAGGTTTAATTAATCTTCCTTTTTATAGTTGAGCTGTCTTTAACTGCCATTCAACTTATGTGTATCATTTTAGAATTCACTAATTATTTAGAATATATTTATATTAATCATTTTTTTAATTAACTATGCTTAATTTTGTGCGATTTGTAACTATCCAATTGCCATATATAAATACGTGGAACCGCTTATATTTTGTCTGTGCAAATAAGATATCCCGAGATGCATTTTTAGGGATTAGTTTGGGCAACATTTGTCAATTTTGGACAAAGAATAGCTTAGATCACGGAGAGATTTAAAGATCAGGGAGAGATTTAAAGGTTAACTAAAAAGCGATAAAACTTCATACACAGCGTTTTGATTATAACCTAGAAGAAAAATGCACTGCAAAATAAATTAGAAACTCCTAAAGTGTATTTTTAAAAATTTATTAAATCATGTTTTGTCGCACAGCAATTATTCGAACCTGTTCGAAAATATTTGAACTTCTATTCAATATAATACGTTTCAATTTTATTTGTATGCACATAAAATATGTTAACATTTATGAGAAAGGTAGGTACGTAAAGCTGGCTAGTAACGTTTTTAACATCAGCATCGAGGACAAAGTTCGACAGCTCAAAACTAGAAATTTTACTTTACGATTTTAAAAATGTCAGACAGAAACCTTTCCTTGAAGTCGGATCGGTTTTATTTTCTGCATTCATCACTATTGGCGAAAAAATACGCACAACTTACGAAAGAAAATATGTGAAGCAACAACAGTCCTCTTAAAATCTTCAGAGTTAGGTTTTACTCGCAAAAAATTTCACAACTTACGTTTTAGTGCAGCCAAATTCAAATATTAGTGTATTGTAAATGTTAACTGGAAATATATTGCAAAATTCCAGTCATCCGTTAAAATTAAATGAGCATTTTATTTACTAATAAAATTATAAAATTAAAATACTAACTATTGCGCTTCTAAAATTCATTTTCTTTTCTTTTATTTAGGTAAATTAATTTTTTAGTGTTTACAATTTTTATATTTTATATCTTAAAAGTGATGCCAATTTGTTTCAAGAAGACTTAAAGCTGTTTACAACTCTGTAAGAAAAAATTATTGATATATTTTTTCTTCGAATAAGTGTTTGTCAATCATTTAATCTTAATTAACATGTGTTGGAAATATTGACAACTTTGCCAACTTTGGCATTTCGCTTTATATTTTGTTTTTTGAGCAAGATCCCTGTTAATTTGTGTTTTTACAATTTAGCTTTATTCTTATCGGAAGTCAAAAGTCAATTTATTTCTCAATTTTTACAAATGTTAAATACAATTAATCAAATAAGAATAGCCTACTATTCAATTATGATTATACATTTCCAACATTCTCTTGGACCTAATTTTTGAAACCACTAAAGTAATGTTTAACATGACATTGAATTTTGTTTATTCTAGATTAAAACGAACAGGTTGTCTTCTCTTTCTAACCGACCGTCTTAATTGAATTGGCAACTGATCAGTGTGTATGGACCCATATCTGTCATCGGACTCCGCTTTGTCGTCTTTCTCTCTTTGCTTTTGTTTCAAGTCAGATCCAGTAGTGATTATTGTTTCATCGGTCCCCATTTTGTCGTCTTTCTCTGTTTGACTATGTTCCGGGTCGGATCCAGTAGTAATTGTTGTTTTCTCAACCGGTGGTGTCCGAATACCGAAATCTAAATCAATATCAATATTATCTGCCCTAAGTTGATTTGAATGCGATGACGACAAATTTCGACGTATTTGATTTTGATGTCGTTTTATGTAACCATTTTCAGTTTGAATAAAATACATTTTATTTTCCAGCAATTTCTGTATCACGCCCCTGATCCATTTATGCGATCCCGAATAATTACGAGCTAACACTTTCTCTCCAACTCCGAATTTGCTTCTATTTTGAGTTTTCATAGTCTCCATAACTTTCGGGAACAACCCCGATAAAATGGTTCTTGGTTGCCGCCCATGTAACAACTCTGCTGGCGATTTATCAGTTGTTAAGTTTGGAGTAGTTCTATACGTTGTAAGATATTTATACAACGCTTTGTCAATATGTTGTTCCTCTTTCATAATTTTTGTTACTGCTTCCTTAAAAGTTCTCACATGTCTTTCCGCTAACCCATTCGAAGCCGGATGAAAAGGAGCAGACGTGAGATGCTGAATTGCGTTCATTTCACAAAACTTTTGAAATTCATTAGACATGAATTGTGTTCCGTTGTCTGTCACGATAGTGCACGGAAGACCTTCGATAGAAAAAATTTTTTGTAGAGCTCCAACTGTTGTTACAGCTGTTATTGTTGATAGTTCCACAATATATGGAAATTTTGAATATGCATCCACAACTGTGAGCCACATACGTTTAAAGAATGGACCCGCGAAATCCAAATGAACTCTTTCCCACGGCCTACTAGGTTCTGGCCATGCAGAAAATTCTCGCTTTGGTTGACTTGCACCTTGTTGACAAGATGAACAATCATCATGAATACGTTCTATGGCTTTATCAATAAGAGGAAACCACACCTATCGTCTTGCCATCTGTTTCATACGACCTTTACCCCAATGACCCTCGTATAACAAATTTAATACTTGAGATTGCAGTGCTTTCGGTAGCACCACTCTAGTATATTCAGCCTAAAGAAGTAACACTCCATTCTGAAATGATAAGCAAAATCTGTGATTAAAGTACGGTTTGATACTACCTTCAGATTTCGGCAATTGTTCAGGCCAGCCATCTTGTACATATCTGCTGACACGTTGAAGAGTGTTGTCATTAGCAGTCATATCCTTTACTAATGTCGCATTTACTGGAAGATAATCCACATCATTTTGATAAACAGTATCGACATCATCTAACATCACAACTTCCAGTCCCAATAGCCATAGACCCACAGTGTCGACTTTTGTATTAACTCCTTACAGCGCTGAATATTTCTTAAAGGTGCTGAGTCTGAAGATATAGCTTTTATTGCAACCTGGCAGTCACAAAGGATATTTTCTACAAGCCAACAAGTTATACTGTACACTAGAATTTATATTTATTGAAATCTTAAATTTTTATTTATATAGTTTAAATATTAACTTAAAAACATGTTTTTGAATTTTGTTTAGTTTCTCATACATTAATGAAGTTTAAATTGAAATGAAATGGTTGTTAGTAGAACTTATGTGCCTCTTGCAATCTTTATCCTTTCAACCGAATGACTTTAATGAACTATATTAGAATAATTATAAATTTAAATAATATATAAAAGTATAAATATATAACTTATATATATCAGTAAAAGAGGAATTTTTAGTTTGTATCCTTATAATAATTCAGTTTGTGTACAGTATGAGTCAATGTTTGTCATTGCTTTTAATGCGAAACTAATCTGTTTTCTATGAAAAATAAACTAACTTTTTATTTAAAATTTAATCAAATTATTTAAAAACTTTTTGCTGATTTATGTGGTAATTTTGAATATTTATGTGCAAATAAGTGGGAAATTGTAGCACACACGATTCGCAGTTAATTGCATTTAAAGTTTATTTTGGATTAAAGTTTGTGCTGCATTGATGATTTCTATGCGCAAGGATATGAGCGAGGATATGAGCGAGGATATGTGCGAGGATATGTGCGGGTTGTTAACAAAGCTGCTCGTTAATGCAGTGCGAATAAAGCAATTTCGCATTTGCGATTTACTCAACACACTATGAATACTTGATGGAGGAGCTCTGGCAGCGCGACTCGCATTTGATGAAGTTCATCACCGGTAATGATTTAAGCCTCTTTTAACTGTCACGTAGTTAATAATTACGAGCAAAACGCTCGCTTTAATTGAGTTAACACAACGTGCGTTTAAGCTCGTGCGAACTAATACTTTTAATCAATTTATATCCAACATAATTAAAATGCTATTATCATCAATGAACCGTTAAGCTTTGTCTGAATCCATAGGTGCAAATAATGGCACCAGTGTGTGTCTGTGCCAGGTATTCAGGTATACAGGTATGGCTTGGCACGGAAATGTGTGTCTATGGCTGTCTGTAAGTGTGTACGTGTTGAATTTCCGCATCAAAATGAACTACAAACCTAAACCACTAAATCACAAAAAAGGATCAAAAAAAAAAACGTGCAAAATTTACTTCCGTCGTAAGTTCAGCTATTACGTGGTCTGGTACATTATTGGCCAAGTCACCTGAATGAGTATATCGTGGCGTGGCACACTTGGCGTTTATTCAACTGAAACAGTAGCAAAAGTCATGCTGAAAAAGCTGTTCACAGCTTAAAAGGACATGTGTTCAAATCGAAATTTATTGAAAAAATGTAGAAGCGTTAAAGAGGAGTTGAAAAATAATATAGAAAAAACCTGTGCGGAGTGAAATGACACTTCAAATTGAATAATTGTTGCACACATGTCGAAAGCGCCAATTTACCCAATCGAACGTACAACGATTTGGTAGTAACACGTTTCGATAAAGAATATCTAACACCAAAGGACGTTCACACTGCTGACAGGTATAACTCGGCAGCGGGGTATGGCGGGGAGTGCGGGCAGCATGTTGTTGGGTATTGCTTTTCGCTTCATATAATAATGGCGGTATGAAAAGGACAAACGTGCCGGATTTACGACAAAATAGTGTCAACGCTGCCAGACAGGCATTTAATGTCAGGCGAGCTTAGTCGTCATTTTTGATGTCTGCTGTCCCATTTAAATTGCATTAGTAGTGCTACACATGCATCACAATGCCTTGGTACGCGACCCGTTCACATGTACAATAACGAGCTCTGCAATGGGTGTAATGGCTTAATAAAGTTGATTCAACTTACAGTAATTAAAAATTTATTGCCCAATCAAAATTTCATTACTAAAGGCGTGAATCGAATTTTCTGTGGGTGTCATTATGGCCATTTAATAATCAACCCAAAAATTCTACTCAATATTCTATAGGGAAAAATTGTCTCGGTTTTGTTTACTTTTCCGTCTTGAATTTTAACTAAGAATAAAAACTGAGTTACGTGAGTTTCGATAACTAGAAAATGATTATATGTATAGATAAGGTTATATATAATACATAGATAATATAAATATATATAATATATATTACAATAAATAAAATTAGATCTATTATATGCTTTGGATGTATAAGTATTTTAATTTTAATTTCATTTATTTTAATTTCATTTTCACCAAAGTCTGTATTTTGTGGGGTAAATCTTTAGGCGTGTCGCAATTTAAAGTGAAAATTTTTAAATTCCGATTCGAAATGATTCCGATTTACCTCAGACAGTTAACAATTGACTTCATTAATTAAATTACGAATGCTGAAAAATATGCGGGATCTGATAAGTGTCGACTGTGACATTTAAAAAGGCTTCGAATAAAATGATTGTACACAAATCCTTTAATTAAAAGAACTCTTAGCATTTAAAAATGAGATAAAATTATTTCAGTAGCATTTTTAAATGAATGCACCTGCCTGCATGCAATTGCAACAGTTTGCTCGAAATGCAATTTAAACCCTATCAAGTGCCATCAAACGAATGAACTCTGGGACAGACGAGATTGAAAGCATGAACCAGTGCTAACCAATGAACCAAACATCCAAACAACTCTACAACCAATTGAATTAATTTTATGTAATTAAATGCAAGTTGCACGCGGTTCTGCAAATTAAACACTCAATGAAGTGCTTAATGAGTGGAAAACAGCAACCCACTGCCACAGCCATTCCTACCGCCCATACAGCATCAAACCAACTGCCAGATCCATCATCTGTGAAAACGCTTCTGAAAGGGTTGATGGCAGTGGGGGCACAGTCGGAGCAGGGCGAGCGAACTATTTTAAGAATTATTTCTATTGAAGTGGCACTTAATTACACATTATTACCAGTTTAATTTGCAGTCGCAAAGAGCTTTAATATGCTCGGCTATTTAAGCGAGGAATCTGTGGGCGTGTTGTGAAGTGCGATGCGGGCATCGTTTAAAGTCCGGAAGAGTTAGCATGCTTGCATATCTCTTAAAGCAAAACACAACAACAATGTATGTATGTCTTTATGTTAAATGAGAGTGAAAATTAAATTCACTTCAAAATTCATGCGAAGACATTTTCAAGACAATACGAGTAGATGAAGTAGAAAAGTTGCGATACGACAGCCAAGCAGCACTGCTTTGTACTGCATTAACAGGCAATATTCTTTATTCGGGCGACAGCTAAGCTACTCACTTTCACGCGTACTGCATCCGTGCACTTCCAGCGCAACTATAAGGACTTCAGCAAGGAAAGGAACGGAATGAAACGGAAAGGAAAAAGATAAAAATCGAATTTATTGTCAGTTGCACACTCAAACGTTTTAGTTTTGTGTGCCATGTGAGTGTGAATATGGCTGGTGTTCGCTCCTTGCGCTGTGGCTACAATGCAGTGCAACGCTGAAGCTGACGCGTAAAATACTCCCTCGGGCTGGTTGTCACTCTCATTTTGTAAACCTTAAAATAACGCAGATCAGAGCACTCGACCTGAAGACGTGTTCAAATGGTTAAGGAAGTAGCTGCACGTACTGAAGTTACTTTAGAAAGGAATGGCGTATGTCAATACGTTGACACTAAGGCTCCAAGCTTGTGCAAATCGACTGAGTGCAAAGTGTATGCTCCTTACTAATGGATCCTGATGGCCGGAAATAGAGCTGTGTAATTTTAATCAAAGTACCCGAATGACGATATCTATGAAATGAAAAGACATTTTCCAAAAACATTTTTTAATGTATTTTATTTAATCTATTTATATATTAGAGATATATTATATGAAAGCCTCTCTAGCTTTAACAACCAAGAATCGAAAGACGAAAAAGGACCCAAGTCGTTTCGTGATCTACTTCGGCTAATTCTTCACTTCAGTGGGGCCACGTGCTGAACGGTGCGCTGTTCCAACGTCTCACAATATATATATATGGAACGGCTTGAATAAAAATGTTATATCTTATAAACTTCTTCATAACTTTTAATCGAAGATTTATTTTTCAAATAGTTAACTTTTTATAACTTTGTCATTGCCCTAAGAACTTGTACAATCCAATTGCAGATCAATGAAGTGGTATTAATCCATTGTGATAAAATTAATATTTTTTCAATTTTTTCACAAAACCCAGTACATTGAATATGAAATGAATTTTAAAAAAGCAAATAGTTAGTTTTAAATGAGACCTGTCAGAATCATCATGACATTTAAATGATTATTCATTTAGTTTCAATTATTTTACGGAAGCTACTTTTTATATTTTAATGGATTCAAAGCCTTAATTTATCATTACTTTTTGATAGGAAAAATATCATAGAAACAAAACGTTGGTTTGATAATCACAACCCAGACTTTGTTCAATGGAGAGAAATGATACGAGATGTGGTTTGCTGACTTTAAATGCGGCCGTACAAACACCGATGCTGAAACCGCTGGTGGCCCAAGACAGGTGATGACAGTTAACGAAAAAGAGCAATGTCGTAAAAAATAAAATAAACAGAGTTTTCTGCATCGGTATATTATAATGGACTGAAGTTTGATTCAACAGTCAGCTGACGAATCTCGCCCAAATTGACTAATAACGCAACAGGCAGCTGGTAAGGTTATGACATTTTTTTTTTGGGATAGAATTGGGTAGAATTTTGCTCTTCGCCTACCTTGAAAAAGGCGCAAACATCAACAGCGTTTGCTATAGCATGTATATATGAACCAAACCGTGCGCTTAAACAAGAAAATCGAGTAAAACCGGCCTCATATAAAGAAGAAAATTGTCTTGCTCCAAGAAGTATCATTCAAGAGAAATATTGAAATGTTACACTCTGGCCAAATTGCACGAATTACACTTCAAATTGACTCCGCATC